TGAATGATGTTTGAAAGCTGACGCGTGATGCATCGGGGCTGCGTGCACCATTTTATAGGCGGTCAGGAAGTGGAGTTGACTAACGCTGGTTTTCACCTGATGATGTCATCCACTGAAATTGCCTGGAGCCCGGTGAAATTTGCGTCATGCGAAGGCCGTTTGAGAGCAGTGGTAGTTGAGAAGGAGCATAAAGAACAGAAGAAAGCCAAGCAAAAGAAAACAACACGGGCGCTGTTGATGACTTCACAATATATATATTTTTTTTTTAAGTGCAATATGCTAGAACCGAACAGTTTATTTTACAGCGTAGCTTTGCTTTCTGAAGATATTCTTGTTTTCTAAAATGGTGTTACAAAATACGAGTTACAAAAATAGTACTTGAACAAAAAGGATTGTTTCTAACCTCCTGACAGGAAGAACAATCTGCGCCAGCCAAGCTGGGTCATTCCTTATTCTTATCGGTTCTGCAGAACGCATTATTTTGATAGATATCCCATATGGTTTGAGAAATTTGTACCCCAGTGCTGCTGAAGCTGAGCCATATGTATGACTGCTAAGGCATTTGGTTTAACTGTTAAAAAAATAAAAGGGGGGAGGGCTTGTTCCTTTTTCTGTTTTTACTAAGAGCTTTATTTCTGGAAATAAAAATCCCTTCTTAGAGGGCCACTTAGCAGTCCCTGTCACTTCTGAAAGTATTTTACCTGGCTTCTCTGTCTGGGCCTTCAGAGATGTGTGACTAGGGCAAATGTAAATGTTTGTGAAGGATTTCCAGTGTGTGCCTACTGCAGAGTATTTCCCCCCCCAGTCTGTAAGTGGATGTTTGCTCAGGAAAGGGAAAATAAGTTTTAAACAACACGCCTTTTGTATATAAAGCTGCAAACATGGCAGGGTTTGGTACATCACCAGAAACTACTTTTAACTCTCTTCTGGCAACCTGAGATTTTTCAATATCCAGAAATATCCTTGGTGTTACATTGCCTTGAAACAGCTTTTCTGCCAAACTTTTAACTCCGGTGCTTTGCAGTCTGCATTTAAACTGTCAGTGAAAATACAGGATCACGTTCTGAACTTGCATGGGCGTTGTGAGCTACTTGTTGCTATTAAAAACTTGTATATGCTATGGACAAATATAAAATGAATGTGAAAAGCCACCAAGTTTTTTCTGGCCTAATCACTGATTTCGACTGTCAGTACGGACTGCTTACAGTTTTTGGATGTGCAGTTGAAATTACATATTATAAAGCTATGGTTTTATCTTTTTTTTTTTTCCCTGTATGTTGTGTTTATCTGTTAATTTTTGTGCCTTTGAAAGGACCTAAATGAAAATATACAGGAGAGGTAATGAAACCAGTTGTTGTTAACAGCGCAAGTTAAATTGGAAGAGGAATCACCGTGGACAGTAATAGGTAGATTTGCACGTAGATCTCATTGATTTCTTTTTTTTTTTATTCATTTTTCCTTGGTTTTCTGTCTGCATTTGTGGTTTTCCCCACCCTTTCGTATACACTCTCTCCACATCTCTACCTTATCTGTTCACCTTTTTCTCTTTGTAGGAATGATTGTGGTTAGAAAGTTGTCCCTGTGGAATTTGTTTCCAGGTTCTGGGGCATGCTCGGGAGTGGGCTTTGGCGAGTCTGCCTTACAAAACTACCCCATCCCTTCCCCTGCCCCCAGTTGATGACAAGTGGACGTTTGTGGTATTTTTTTCTGACTTTTTTTTTTTTTTTTGTGACAGGCTCCTCTGCTCCTTACGGGCATTTCTGTAAAAAGCAGTCTACCACATGCTGCCCTTCTTGCTTCCTGCATGCTTGGCAAAACAAGGCTAAGAGTAAGGAATGCCAAATGAGACTGTTACATTCATGAAGAGCAGTAACCTGATACTCGTAATCGTAAAATCCTGTGATCTTCAAAACACTGTGCCCTGGATCAAAACATTCATGCTTTGGAAAGTGTCGGTGTCATTCCCTTCCCACTTTTTGTTGTTTTTTGGTTTTTTGGTTGTGTTTTTTTTTTTTAGTGTCATTCCCTTCCCACTTTTTGTTGGTTTTTGGTTTTTTGGTTGTTTTTTGTTTTTTTTTTTTTAGGTCTTCCCTCAGTACTTATGTTAAAGTGCTTTTGCTTCTTAAGTGTCCCAGTTTGCGCTTCCTTAACTATCTCCATCAAATCAACTGACACGCCACGCAGTCAGCTAACGATAGGGCAGCAAACCGATGCCCTGATGCCATATGAACTTGTGTGAAATGCATGGTTTGGGCAGTCTGTTAGCACAGCGAAGTTGAGGGACGCGCAGCCCTCTCCTGGCTCTGCAGAGGTCGTCAGACTGAGGAGGAAGAGCATCTGGGGGGCCAAACAGGCTCTATGTTGTGTCACGTGTGTCCTGGGCCCCACTTTTTTAGGACAAAGTAGAAGGCCTTGGTGATTGTCTAACGCCTGCTCCATCGCGTCAGAGATGTGCTCTCCCAGAGGCTTTCACGCCCTAGCTCTTGGTTCCCTTTCTTCCCTCCGCAAAATGCATGCGGGTTCACGAGAGACTTCTCCCTTGCTTTGATTTCTCAAGAAACTTTCCAGTTTATGTCCTTATGGCGCCTTGTTTCTGTTTCTTCTTGTCCCACTCGTATCAAAAGGACTCGTGTTGGAGCTGGCCCTTCAAATGGAAGTAGGAATTCTCTCCTTCAGTTCGTGCTCGGTATTAGGGGAAAATTGTTGGCACTGTGTGAGGGGCGAAGGTATTTTCCTAGTGGCAGTTTGGATATTGTAGTAGTTGTTACTGAGAGAAGGTGGTCGCTTGCCCTAATTCAGGGGACTTCTTAAGTAGCGTGTATACTCTGTTAGAGAGTGTGTGTTGTTTTGCATAAATGTTTCTTTTTTTTTGGTGATAGTTTAGCTATTCAACTTGCATGGTGGGGTTGAATCTTGACAGCAGTATATGTCCCGTATTGGAGCGAGCTTGAACAGAAAAAAAAAAACCTCGACGCCCTTGATTCCATTTGACCCGCGTTTAGTCGCTTCCCATTAACTGGGTTTAAAATTATTCTTTGTCGTCTATAAAGGTTTTTTTATGTTCTTTACAAGGAATCACTTTGCGAGCATGCATGTATCTGTCAATGCTGTGGTCGTGTTTGCGTATAGCATTTAGGAAACCTAGTGGAAAGTGAGATACTCTTTCAGCTGAGGAAACTCATTGGTGTGGAATAATCTAGAGAGCTCACATGTACAAATTCCCTCAATTAGATTACTTATCCTTGATACTGCCTTGTATCTCCCAAAAGCCATTTACCATTGGATTTTTCTGAAAAATATTACACTTGCCACTCTTCATTGGTTACTTGTCTTTTTCTTTTTGTGGATGTAATCAAAAATAAGTGACATAAAACAAACGTAATGTAGTATTCCCAGAATTTGACAGTTGCTTTAGTAAAAAAAGCTAGCTGCTTTTCCGTGCTGCTTCAGAGATTGAAGATGGACTAAGTGATTTCAAAGTGGACTTCAGGTAAAGTTGAATGCTAGGTGAAGGAGGAGAAAAATTTGTGTTCAGTTCTCACCTCTGTAAAAGGCTGCTGTATGTACTTGCAACCTTTTTTTTAAGCATTAGAAATGTCTAGTGTGCTCTCCCTTGATTTCATTGCTAAATTTGTGGAATAAAGCTGGTGGATTCTGTAAGCATTTGCAGGATGGTCATTTACTTCATTGAAGGCTTTTTGAGACAATTTTTTTTTTGAATTAAAGTTCACAGCTCACTTAGCTGATAAGCATTATTTGAAGCTCTAGTTTGATTGTACTTTTGCTGTAGGATTGCTTTGGAATAGACAGCAGCTTAGCCTTTAATTAGTGGTACTTTATCAGTTGAGTAGGGAACAGTCTGCCGGGTGCCATCCACCTCCATTCGTGTGACATTTGCTCTTTGCGCTATATTGTGGCTTGACTTCTTAAGTAGTTCAAAGGTGAATTATCACTTGACATGTGATTTATCTGGCTGCTTTATAGAAAAAAAAAAAAGAAAATGCAGTTGTGTGCCAGGGAGAATGCAACAGAGTAGCTCTTGGCGTAGGCAGTGCTTGCTGCTCATGGAGTAAATGTCTCCAGCAGTTGGGAAACTTCCAAAGTTCATGGGGTGGGAACCTCTTATTGTGGTACCTGCCTCTGTTGTGCCGTGGAGAGGATCGCTGGGTGAAACTCAGGAGCCAAGCTTTCTCTCGGCTTCCTTCTTGATTGTTCCTTTAATGTTTATCCCCTCCCAAGAGCTCACTTACCAGTTGGTCAAGTCACTTGCAAAATCATTCGTAAGTAGGGTTATGAATGGACATGAAGGGAATGGCGGGGGAGCGATGACTTGCACTTGATTTCTTTCAAATGGCTTGTTTTCTTGTGTATTAAATATTTGAAAAATTAATTAGGCTTGGGTGTCTCTAAAAGGGTTTGGGGTTAGTTGCATCAGCTGTTTGCTTCCCGAACAACTGAAATTACGTGTAGGTGCAGAACTCATTCTGGCCTGAGGAATAGCTGGTATAACTTTCTCCTCTGGTGTCATACTTTCTAGGTCTCTGTTCCATGTTACTTTTTCTTTGGAAAACTACTTTTCCCAAAAGTTTTAATTTTCCTGGCTTTCCTTATTCATATTCAGTTTCTAATTGATGGATCTGTTTTCTCCATCAGCATGGCCTGCAGCCTGTGGAGGACAGCCGTTTTCAATATACGGAGTTTCAGTTAAAAATCACTGGTTTAAGTTGAAATAACATCTAAATACAAGTCACTGGTAGCTTTGAGTGCTTAACGTATTAATCTAACAATTCAGCTTAGTTAGCTAATAATATCTCAAAATTCTTTAGAGGCGGCACTTGTTTACTCTCTGCAGCATTTAACACAATAGGGCTCTGAATTGCTTAATCTGTACACTACCTCTGCAACAAACCAGCGCTCTTTGGTGGCAGTTCTCCTTAAATTTTAAAACAGATGGATTCCTTGTTAACGGAGTTTAATTTTAGAGTTGCTTGTTTGTAATCAAAACTCTTGAAGATAAAATCAGAACTGTTTTGTGATGAATTTAGACAACAAGTCCTTAATATAGTTTGTTTCAGCTTCTGGGATGGAGCAATATATAATGATGATATTAAGCTTTGACTCTTTTTTTTTTTTTTTTTTTTTTTTTTTATGAACATCGCATGTACCAGCGGTCACACTGATATTTACCTATCAAATTGACTAACTGTTCTTGTAACAGAGGAGCAAAATACAGTCATTTCAACTAATGTGTTGTGCCTGTGATGTGTGTGAAGTTAATTGCAGCAATTATTTGCATACATCTGGATTTGTACCTATTTTGAGGTGTTTTTTCACACATTCAGAAAGTTCTGTGTACAGTCTGTGTGAACTCATTTAAAGGTTTGAGTCATGCTATTTCAGTTTTGGAAATGTTATGCTAGAAACCAAAAAAATCCAAAATATCAAGCTTCTTTGGGTAACTGTAGGATAATATAATACATTGCTGTACTGACCATCAAAGTTGGTGCGATCTCACCCTTAGGTCTGGTACTGCGTTTGGCCATGTGGTGGTTTCAGACCAGTAGAATGTATAAAAACTAGTTTCAATGTTGTTTTTTTTTTTTTTCATCTCCCTGAAGAGTGTGTCAAGGTGCAGTAGAATGTATAAAAACTAGTTTCAATGTTGGTGTTTTTTTTCATCTCCCTGAAGAGTGTGTCAAGGTAGATTTTGCTTGTTACTTATATGCATATAGCAAACACTTTTTAAAAATGGCAGCAGAAGAATATTTGTGTTGCAATGGGTGACGCAGTTTATAAGAAACTGAAACTTCTTATACTGAAGAAGTTTGCATAAGTACATTTTTGCAAGTTTTGTAAAATACAGTGGGCAAGTAGTTGATCTGAGGGGGAAAAAGCAGTAAAAAAAATACATCTGAAGACTTGAATTAATATTATTATATCCCATGAGAGGCTTCTGCGTAGGGGAGTTCCTGTCTTGCTTGTGGCAAAAGGTGCCTTATTATCAGTATTCTCTTAAAGTGTGGTTGTGCTCTTAAAAAAAAAGGTGGGAGGGGGGAAGAAAGCATGATATAAGTAGAGGTGGGAGAAGAGCTTACATAAGGTAATAGCCTGCTCAAAATTTGTATGTGGTAAACTTTGTACCCAGAGTTAGATGCTATGATTAGTTATATTAATAAGATTATCAAGCAAAATCAACCTTTATTATGTAGTCAGTAGTTTTGAATTTTGTTTTAGAGGCCAGGCATCATTTTTAATAATTTAAATACCAGTTGTGTTTGGAAATGAGCTGTCCCCTCCAACAGTTGTGAGACTCCGCTCCCTGAGTGCTGAGAGGAAAAGCATACGGCAGTAGCGTTGTCAGATGTTAGCCTGGGTTACTAATAAAGTGGGTAAGCCTTCACAGAGGGTTTCAGGGTCGCTTTTAGGGAAGGGCTTGTCGCTTGGTCTTGGGGCACTTCTTGGTTTCCTGATATTATATTGCATTTTTTCCTTCCGTTTTTCTTTTTTTGTGGAAGCATTTTTCTGTGGCTGCACCGCTGGCTTTGCACTGTGCTGCGTTTAACGAGGCGACCTCGTCAGGATGATTCACAGCGGGGTTATGTCTCATGTGGACAGAGGCAAAAAGCAGCAGACATTTGGTCTGCCAAAGATGAAACCAAATCTATTTACTTGCTGTAGCCAGCGGAAGACTTTGCAAGCCCAAATGTGCTAGGGCATCAGCAAAGCATGGATATTTGGAGGACTATTTGGCTGAATGAAGTGTAGATGTCACTGGGTGTTTGCCTGGGCGGACTGCAGCCTGTGCCTCATGCTTTTGGGAGGCACTGCTCCTGGTAGTAAGGCAGCTGGTTGCTGTAGTAGTTCGTGGTGTAGTGGTTTGTGGAATATCTTGCTGGCAAGAGCCTCTCGAAGGCAGCTGAAGCAGCTTATGGAGAGAGAGTTTGGTCTGCT